CGTATGGCCTTGGTGGAGAAGGATACCTCAACTTTATTGGCAATGAATTTGGACATCCAGAATGGCTGGACTTTCCAAGAGAAGGAAATAACCGCAGCTATCACTACGCCAGACGACAATGGCAACTCGTGGACGATCACTTGCTGCGATACAGGTTTCTAAACGAGTTTGATGCAGCCATGCACCACCTTGAGGAGAAATATCACTGGTTAGAGAAGCCTCAGGTGAGTGTTGGTAGGCAATTAAGAGACAGTTCTCGGTTTCCTGTTAACAATGGCACCAACTTAAGGCTTGACTGATGTCTGTATTTTAGCGGATAGCTTTTAATGTCGGCATGAAAAATATAGCGAATACTGCGCCAAAGAGTGGCACAGAAAGCTATCCGATATGTTATGATCCACTTTCAAGATTAGACTACGAGTAGTCTCCCATTTTTCCTCAGGGATAGTAGAGCGGGCGAAACGCAAGCGCGCATGAAAATCACCCCACGGGAGAAAAGGCGATTTTCACGCGCGCTCGCGTTTCGCTCGCTCTACTATCCCTGAGGAAAAATGGGGGACTGCTCGTAGTCTATTTCAAGATCGGCGCGGCGTAGATTCGCTCGAAATTACTGTTCTCATGTGACCTGTGAACAAAAGCCCTATCCTATATGGTTTTCTTGCCTGTGCAATAGCTATCTGGTATAGCATAAACATAGTCTTGGGGTGAAACAATGCGGGGATTTTTATGACATTGTCACCTCAAGTCTCAACCTCTTTAGTTTGTGTTTGCTCACTGGAGATGAATTGGGGGAAAGGTCACGAGAGCGATTTCACTCGCTTGGCCAGCATTTTTGCAAATTAATGGAAAGGAAGGAAAGCGTTTACATTTGAAATTTTCGGTGAAGTATTCTACGGATTTAGTGGCTATTGTGGGCGTAGAAATTTATAGTAGCCAGCAATATGACGTTATCACTAAGGAAAGCCATTAGTTAGAAATTAATTTTTGTCACTGAACTGTTCCGTCTGTGCAAGCGTGCTTATTAGATAGGCAGACTTCGAAGATCACTCACTGATTAATCACAAGTAATCTGGACTACGAGCAAATGGAGCAGACTTTAAAAATCGCGCGTTTTTAATCGGCAAAATAACTCTGCAGAACCTTCAACTCAGGCTACTGAGCCCACAGTCATCTACACTGGCTACCAGAGGTTTTTCCTCGCGTGCGGCGATTGAGTGCGACGGAGATGCTTCGGGTCGGCTTCATGCCGACTCGGCCGCCACCAGCGGCCAAGATTGTCATAGAATTCCAATTTCTCAACTGATTTGTTTCCCCCTCTTCCCTTTTCTCTCTCGTTTCACCCTTCCCGCGAATTCAGTTTCCGTCATTGCGCTTCAGCGAAACCACATATTACCCAGGCCATTGTTATAGTTAAATTCAAAGTTGACCTCAATCGTTTTTTTTTTTGCGTGTTTCTTTTTAGGCATACGTGAGCTTGCATCATGAAGACGACAAAATGATTGTGTTTGAAAGGGGCGACCTGATATGGATCTTTAACTTCCACATAAACAAGAGTTTTGCTGACTACAGGATCGGCGCCAGCATCGCTGGAAAGTATCCTTGATACAAACCAGTATACTTAATATATTTCTCCCTCAAATTAGTATTTTCTATAAAGCCTGATATAACGAACTGCCTCTGTAGATTATACAGGTAATAGATAGAGGATTAATAATTTTGTTCGGTCGTTATCGAAGATGTAGAAGATCGAGAAAGGATTATATTTTCAGTCAGTGGCGAAGGTTACTCAGAGAATTTCTCGACAAGAACCGAATTTAGACCTTGAACTTCAACTTTATCTTTACTGGAATAATAGTTTGCAATGATCCGCCGTCAGCAAAACTAAACCATTGGGATCAGTCACGCAGTCATGACGACACGGCGCAGTATTCAATACCTTGCGGTAAATAGTTCAGATGCTGTACCACTGAGCAACAGGAGACTCGTGGCAGCTGTGGTCATTAAACTTGACTTTAATGACAAATAGCCGGCATGCTGCAACTGGAATGTCGATAGGTGGCATATTCTCAACGAAAGATCCTACTGCTGCAACTACGAAATCCCCCAGGCTAGAAAGTTATAGCCATAGGACAGGATGCAAGACTTAAAAAAAAGCCACCTTCACTCCTGCTTTCTCCCCTCCGGTTACGAACACCCACATAGCCAGATGAACAAACCTTAGTTTTTCGCGTTGTTCAGGCAAGGGAAGGGAAGGTGAAGCGCGAGACGTGCGCGGAATAAAGGCGCCCCAAAATTGAGAGCGAAAGAAAAGAAGGAACTAGGCAGAAAAATGAAAGATTTATAACACGACGTTTCGGGGTCCTCATTTTTCTTCTTAGTTGCTTGTTTTAATAAAACTGTGCGTATAGAAAGAAAAGAAATTCTTTCTTTCTGAGCGCTTGTCTCGCTCTCCACGCCCGCCGCGGGTACGCTTGTTCTGCTTGCTTACGCCTGCCACACAAGCTAAAAGCGCTTTCCACTTGTCAGAACTTGCCGGCCAGACCATTCCCGCCGTCATGAGAATTTTACTTCTTATCAGAACTGTCCAGCCAAATCAGTCAATTCCTGAATAATAGGGATGGGTTTGATGGCTTTTTTGGCGAAAACTCTCAAAAAAGGCCAATTTATTTTCGAACTGAACGATTCATCCGGCCAGCTCTGACTTTTGGAGAGCGCCTTAAGTGTTAAGGAACCGAGTGATGTCTCTCGCATTGCGAATTGACTGAGGGTTTTCTGATGATTGCAACTTAACTGTACTGCTCAGATACAAAGTAGCTTTGAATTCAGATGCAAGGGAGTTCGGAGGCCAAGGCCGTGTGGACCCTAATTGTGAATACTTTGTAGACAGTCAGCCCTGGCATGAGAGACCCTTCTCGCTGTTGGTGAGTACAGTACCATGATCATAACAGCTTTTCTTTGGCAATTTAATCTCCATGATGCTGAGCTAAGTTAAAAAATTGTGATAAAAGTTTGCCTCTTTCCTCACTTTTCCCTGTTCAAGCTGGTTTTTTGTAATGTGCCTGGCAGGTTAACTTTTCTTTTTTCACTTGTGGATGAGTTTACAGCTATTTTACTACCCTTGACCATCTTATGCAATAGATAAAATGAAGATTTGTTTTTTCGCCACGGACGAGCGAGGATTTTATTGCTGCCATAATTTCGATAGTTCGTGGCCTGTAATCTCGTACCCATATCTCTTGTCGACGAAGTCGGTGTTACGGTGATATGGGCATCCACATTCCTAAAACACTAATGATATGGACATCCCCTTCTTATATTACCTTAGCGATTTTGGTTAGGGTTACAGGGGATGCCTATATCACTAGGTTTTTGGGAATGGGGATGCCGAAGACGCGGGGATGCCCATATCACTGTGACACCGGCTTCTTCAACACAATTTCTGGATAGGAGATAACTTAGCTTGATGCTCACTTTCTTATCACTTCCTTTTCTCTTTTCAGGTGTATATACCCTGTCGCACCGCCCTGCTTTTAGCACCAGCATAAATAATCCAGAGAATTTACTGTGTTAGAAATACCTGTTTTATCATTCCTATTTAGTTCTTTATATCTGACCTATGAGTATTTATCAGCATTTACCAGGGTGCAAGGGCCACCCTATTCTGCCCTTCTTACGGCTCCGTTAAAATGGGAACAAGAAACTACGAATCGTTCTAAATTCTATAGACTATTACATATTGCTAAGAGCTCTGACAGTTTCCATCATGAAAATTGTGTGACGAGTCATCATACGACAGGAAAAGAAGCTAAAATCAGCGGCAAGTTTGTTTATATATCATGTCAGATTCTAGTAAAATATTGTTAAAAATTGATAAATGCGATACAACTTATCCGAATATGTATTTTGTATTGAGATATAAATTTAGTGTTATTTTAAGAAAACCGTTTAGTATTTTTAAGAAAACTGTAGTATGTTAGGATAAGACAATCTACAATGTAACATGTAGAGGTAAAATTACAAATGTTATTTTTGGTCCAATAGTAATTTCTTGGGAACTTTTTTACCTTTCGTATTATTACTCACAGGCAACCAAATTGTATTTTGACTTTGAATAGAGTGGGATTCAATAAGTCACAGGTGTGGAACATGGGTTTATTTCATGCGGTTATACATATATCGTATCATTTGATTATCGTGTACTGATTTCTTATAACGGCCTCGTTGCCTGGGTCCGTTGGGTGTGATATGGATCTGATTAGTACGTGAATGAGCAATAAATCTTTGGTATTGAAAGACTGATGTGTCTTGCGTAAGCCAATGGACTAGTTGTGCCCATTTATCTGTTCGCATTTCAAGAAAATCGAATTCCAAAGCTGAACCTTTGGTGATCTTGAAAGCCCGTTTTCGAAGTTCTGTCCAAGAATTCGACCAGTCATTTCTCTACCATTTTGCAGCGCTTTTGCAATCTGTTCCGTCGCAGCAGTCAGATACAACTTTCCCGGAATGAATGTGTTCTAAAAGGCGGAATTTTCAGGGTGAAATATAACTTTAAACCTTTAAGATGAAGGGTACCTTTAATAGAGAATAGGGATATATGGGGTCAATTCGAGGCAGAAGCAGAATTCGGTTTCATTTTAGTATCGCTGCATGGATTGACCGTCAACGTAGTAACAAGAGTGCTGATTGAAGGATAACTAACTTGAACTGGAACTGGAAGCTAGTAAAGGAGGGGTATGATCGCAGGCTACAGTTAGTCGGATTGGAGTCACGCAATGCTACTCGCACCCATGGGGGCGGGAAGCATGGCGTGACTCCGGCCCGAGCGGCTGCGAAGGAGAGTAGGGGCCAGAGGAAGGAATTACTTCAATAGTCGAGAAATAAAAGATAATAAACTTTAGTGAGTACGAGTTGCCATAAATTTAATATTAAAAGTTGCCTAAAAATTTTTCAGCAGCGTAAGGCCTGGCAACTAATCATTTGCAAATTTATGTGCATATTTCTGCATATTTATATTTGGCGCCAAATTTTGTACGTTGTCACTTTGTTGGAGGCGGCCATCTTGGCCGAGTAAAAACAATCGAGCAATGTTTGTGATCGTTTTTACAATTTATCGCTGGTGGAGGTCGTATTCTCGTATTGGTTAAGAACATTTGACATGGAAGGGACTTTTAAGAGTCCCCGCCCTATACCAAACATTGTCAGCGAGGCAACTTTTAGCCACCGAAAGACGAAGAAAGTCAACCAGCAGAGGAGGGTAGTCGAGGAAGATTGTTTACCTCCACGAGCTCCTGTGAAATCCGCGCCTCCGATAAGTAGAGTTTTTAAACATACGAGAAGAAACTCAGTAGGAGCACTGCAAGTCAGTTTTCGAGAAAATGGAAGTAGTATCCTTTAAATCTTTTACAGAAAAGTGTGTGCAGTTGAAACTTTGACCTCTGATTGCATAATTTTTGGCTTTACGCAAGCTTCGATCTGTGATTCGTTTTTTCCCATCTATCAAAAAGTCTTCATTTAATTTTCCTATCAAAAAAGTGAGCAACAGAAAGCTGTAAACACTTAATTTAAGCTTAATTAAGGATGTTTTTTCAGGGAATTGTTTTATTTCAATGTTATGTTATGATTATTTCGTCTTCAGTCTTGTCTTTTTCATTTATGGCTTCGGCAAGCAATAATCAGTCATATTATCACTTAAACATAAACCAGTTAAGCTTATTGTTCATTGTGATTGCATGCACTTGTTATTGGTTCATGTTTTAAAAAATAGGCACTAACGATTGAGCAAAAAATTTCACTCCAAATTAAAAATGCCCATGGGTCCAATTAACCCATTCGCCCCTGAACCGCCCGTAACCGCCCGTGCGGATCCACGTCCTTTCTACCCTTTGTGACGTAATCAGTTTTAACGGTCAAGGGCAAATTTGTCTTCTAACTTGTGCAGAGTGAAGTGATCTTTCAAACCATACCAGAATGAGCACAGTTCAGTCAAGCTGTGGCCTCTTTCTCCGTTTTTTGGTACATTGTAACTGGACTTTTAGAGGTACTTTTAGAACAAGGTAACGGGTGGATGGAAAGGAAAGTGGATTAGGATAGATCCTAAAAGCTTTCCTAAAAACTATTTTGCTCACAAATAACAATAATTCACAATTATTTCTGATCAACTTTCGGTAAACATGAAAACAGTTTGCTTTTGAAAAATTTTGGTATCACAAGCTGAAAGAGCATATTAAAATTAGGTAACTTGTAAATTTTCAGCCGTATGTCTCAAAGTAGCAATTGCAACGGCTGCTGAAAATTAGAAGGATTTATATGGCTGGAAATTTACAGGTTACCTAATTTTAATAATTATGCTCTCTCAGCTCGTGCTAAAAAAATTTTTCAGAAGCGAACTGTTTTCATGTTTGCTGAAACAGGGTTGTCACTAAGATAATAAGTTGTTGGGGAAATACAACAAGTAGGTGGGGAATCAAACAGCTAGGGATTTCTTTTGGTTCCATTTTTCTTCTGTTTTCCAATAAAAGTAGCCGGGGACCACACTCATAGTAGCTGGGGGAAATCCCCCGTCCCTGGCTCTTAATGACAGCCCTGCTGAAAGTTGGTCACGTGATCAACTAATGCAAAAGACCTATTGAATATGTTAACCCTCCAAGCATCAAGGGTGATCAACATCAATTTTCTCATCACCATATCAATATATAAATCAAGAGATGTTTGTGAGAATTAATGTAAAGATCACCTATGGGAAATTGCTTTGATAAGTCAGTGAGAAGTTTAGCAGCTAGGAATTTCTTATGGCTCGATTTCCTTTTTGTTTCCTATGAAAATAGTTAGGGGTCATGCTCATATAAGCTGCAGCATATCCCTACCCCAGGCTCGTAGTAACAGCCCTATTCACCTGTACACAAAATGCTCCTGTAGTCTAGGGTTATGAAGAAGATACTAAGCAAATCTCACCAGTGAGCACTGACTATAATATTTTTTGTGATTTTTGCAGGCATAGCACTAAAACTTAAAAACATTAGCACAATGTTTACAATTGTAAATCCTTGTCCATCCTTGCCATCTGTAACAAAAGAAAATTTGAAACGGTTTCATTGCTTAAATATAGTCTTAAATAACAAGACTGGACTATTGTTTTAAGAATTCACTTGGTGCACTGCCAAGACACATTTTATCTTTTCAAACAGACAGCAAATAGTTCGATGTAGCCTCTTTAATTCTTTTATTTCAGTAGATAACCAGTCTTATTAGTCTTACTTTATTTTATTTAAGCAGTAGGTTTAGATTCGATTTGCTAAAATGCCAATAAAATCCTTGACTTGACAAATTAGAGATAAAAAGCCCTCATTATAATGAAAAATCAAAGGATCTTTATTTTGAACAGGTTTGTGAAGAGAAGATTTTAGCAATAATTGAGTGTATCATATTTGCTTGCACCCTAATCCAAACAGTCAGCTGATTTAGCAACCGAACAGGAACATCTGTTGATGACAGGATGCGCAAACCAAAACAACTGGCTTGACCAATGACAGTGCGGTAAATTGGGCACCGGAAGTCATGGTTATCACTTTCCGGGTGCCTTCCCGTTGTCAGCTGACATTCCCGTTCTGTTGGTAAATCATCCTAATATTGATAACATTGAGACCCTCAGTGATGTACAATAAAACTAGATTATTTTTTCTTTTGTCTCTTGATTCCACAGTGTTTTGATGTAATCAGTAGACTTGGAGCAGGCTCATTTGGAGAAGTAAGTTTATTTCTACTACATCTATCTAACTCCAAGACCTTTTAATGGATTTGTGCAATTTGTTTGAAACTTGGATAGCCAGGTGTGAAACCAGTGTCGCTGTTAGACAAACTATTTGGCAATTGACTGATGAAATGTCATTTGTCTTTAAAAAAATTAATAGGTTTATAAAGTGAGGAGCAAGGAAGATGGCTGTCTCTATGCAGTAAAAAAGTCAAGGGATAAATTTCGTGGTGATGCCGACAGGTATTGGTTGCCACCCAAATATATTTTGCTTCCTTCTATTCAAACTCTTGAACACTCGAATTTCTCTGTGTTTTGCATACAGGAAATATAAACTAGAGGAGGTCAACAAACATGAGATACTAAAACATCATCCAAACTGTGTTCAGTTTATTAAAGCTTGGGAAGAAAGGTTAGTGGCTTATTAGAGACTTTTTTTACATAAGTTTTTCACTTGACATGTACTCTGTCCATGGAGTGGTCAGCCTTGTTTTGCACAGAAACCTCCTTGCTTACAGAAAAATACTTGTTAACTAGCACAAGGGCAACAAGTAATTATAGGTTTGATCAAAATGAGGTGAATCCTATCCTGGCTTCTACCAATAACAGTAAGCTGTGCTATCGCAAGCCCTTTTTTTTTTTAGGGGGGGGGAGTGGTCGGGGTGGAAAGGTAGGGGGCTGCTAACCTCCAAAGCAAATTATTATCAACTTTGTTGCAAAGTAGAAAAGGAAATAAGTCAAAAGCTAGACATAGTATATTCTTCATATGTAATAAAATGAAATAAATTATGTTAGATATGTAGTGGTACACCTTTGTTTAATAAGAATCCTACGTGATTAAAAAAAAATGTTTTTAATATAAGAAAAGGGAATAAAAGAATTATAGGTTTAAAAAAAAAGGGAGTAAGTAATCCCAGGTTTTCAAAAAAAAAGGGAAGCGTGGCTATGGGAAGGCTTTTTTTTTGGGGGGGGGGGGGGAGGGGGGGGGGGTGGAAGGTAGGGGGTTATGTAATAGCAAAACATATTATTTTCAAATGCTTTGAAAAAGGGAAAGGGGAAGAAGGCAAAAAGTAAATACTCTAGGATTTAATTAATTAATAACTTGTTAGCCATATATGGTTAGGAATTTTTTGTTGTTTGTAATTTTAGTTATTTGGAAATAGTTGATATACAATATATTGTATAAGACTCCAAATAAATAAAACATGTATCTATGTATGTATGTATGTATATAGGGGTTCTCAGGTATAATACTGAAGTTATGGCGCAGACTTTTCAAATGAGTAACCCATGATCATGAGGTTCTCGTACATTGTGTCATTTTGTTTACAGATACAAACCATGTTACAGTGACATGCTTTTTTAGCTTTTTTCCAGGACCAAGGTCTGGACTATTGGACTTTTTTAGGGGGGTACTGGACATGACCTACATGTATAATGGGACTTCATGTGTATATTCGCAACTCCCTATTATTATATACCCCAAGTGTCCCTCCCCCCTGGGATTGTAAGTATGATTTCTAGTCTTGCAAAACTAAAGTTGAATTAGGTAATCTCCTGCAGCAATAGGGTGCCCCCTCACAAGGAATTACCAGTTACAGATTAGACCAGTATTGTAAAGTCAGATGCATGAACTAAGGTATTCCATTAAGGCATTGTGTAATTCTATTTTTCTTTTTCTATCAATTTTGTCTTGCAGGCAACACCTGTATATACAAACAGAGTTATGTGAAATGAGGTAGTTATTTCTGCTATATTTCACAACATATAAATGTGTACTTTATCTTGAGAAGGTTGATTTCCTCTTAAATGAGTGGATAAATGTACGTGTCATGTTTAGAAATATCATATGATAATGACCATCAGTATCATTGTTGTCACCATTACTGCCATCACTAGCCATTTCACCCTTTTTGGCAAAGGTTGATTCAAGTACAGTCCAGTGATTTGCTTATGCATGGCAAAACTGACATGCCCAGTTATAAAGAATGCTTTTGTTAATTGATAGTTATTTGATGTTTTTTTTTCAGTCTCAAGGACCACCTAGAGAATAATGATTCAGCAAGTGAATCTGTAGTATGGGAATTTCTTGTTGACCTAAGCCTGGTAGGATTTAATTTTAACTCCGAAGCTAAGGTTTGAGTTTGTGGGTTTTCCAAAACAATAAAACAGTCTCATTGTTGGAATTTGCAGTAGTTTTTTGTGGAAAGCATTGATGGTTCTCTCTTTTTTCTGTACTGTTTTTCAGGGTCTCAAACATCTTCACAATAATGATATGGTGCATATGGATATCAAACCAGCCAATATTTTTATTGGTCTTGATGGATTGTGTAAAATAGGAGATTTTGGTTTGGTGTTAGAACTTTCAAAGGTGGGATACAGTGAAGCTTCTTACAATACTGATGTACTTTCATGGGTCATAATCAAGTTGTAACGTGTATGCACCTTTTTAAAGTTAGTTTGGCCAGACTGATCCTACAATGCCCTAAAATGTTGTAAAAAATGTCTTTTGCACTGGAGTTCAGATGGTGATTTGCTTAGAGGTAAAATTTTTAATTTCCTAGTGGGCTGTGAATCAAAATAGTTACCTTATGGCTGGTCCCTTGGGAAGCAAGTTCTACATTTTGTTTCCCAAAGTTCTCATTGTTTCTTGTGGCTTTGCCTCAAGAAATGTTGAGATTCTCTAGACACAAAAGTAGTGGCCTGTGAAAACTGCAGCTGTTTCTCCCATCTCTTTGCAACTGGGGACATTTGGCGTGCAAGAACATCTGCAACTCAGAGACAGAAATTCCATACAGCACTGGTGACGTAAAATCTGTCCTGAACCCGGTCATAAGCGCTGATTGGACGACAGAATAGTTACATTGAATGACAGTCAAAAGACAAAACGCCACAAAGGTCAAAAGTAAACACGATGAATCTCTAACAAAACAGTCAATGTTTTTGGAATGTAGTCTTCTCCAGAAGAAGCATTTGAGTTTTGCTGGAGCTCAACACACATCAGCACAACACTTTACCAAAATCGACCAGGAGAATTGTAAAATTGAACAAATTTGCATTTGGAACCCATGACTACCGGATTTATTATGTAAACATTGATTTACGTCATTAGTATGGAATTTATGTCGCTGAGTTGCAGACATTCCTTAACAGATGTTATGTGGAAACCTACAATTGTAAACATTGGTTTCAATCGGCTGAGATTGCTTGTTTCTCCATTACTAAGTCTTTATTGAAAATAATTTTGTTTTTGTGATTATATATTTCTAGTGTGATACAACTCAAGCTTTAGAGGGAGATCCTAAATATCTTGCTCCGGAGTTAATGCAAGGACATTTTACTAAAAGTGCTGACATATTCAGGTGGGTTTTTATGTAATTATTATTTTTTCAAAGCTGCTGTTTGCATGCATGTCCACACGTTTGTGCATGCCAAATCGACTTCTGTATTGTAAAGACAGTAACTTTTCCTGAAGTTTTGTCAACTTATCCATTTTTACTATTTTGTTTTGTATAATAGCATTTTTATTTATTTAATATCTCTATCTGCAGCTTAGGAATAACTCTACTGGAGTTGGCCAGTGATCTTGATTTACCCAGAGGTGGAGACACATGGCATCAACTTAGGAATGGCCAGCTTCCTGATGTGTTTACACAAGGTTTGATGTTGGGTAATAATAAATTATTATAAGAGTTACAGGGCTGTGCTCTAGCAGAGCCTTGTGGCCCCTCGCACCTAACATTTGCTCTTGGGCAACTAGAAAGTCATATTTTTTATACAATCAGATGCTGGGTACCCTATATTTTACAGTTTCAGAGCACTGGGCTCCCTTCAATTTTCCTTACAGCACAGCCTTGAGTTAAGTCTTTGGTCGCTAATTTCCGTGCAGAAATTTTCCATTCCTTCCAGCTTGGACTGGAAAAAGAGAGATGCATGTGAGAATTCTCTTCATTCTGGAACGGTTTCTCTGGGATGATGGATTGCACTACTATTTGAAATTTCAACTGACATTTCTGTTTATATTTTCCTGGCAAATGGTTAAATGATTCTGTAGTGAATGTTGGGGAGATGTAAAGAATCAAGCATAAGAGGACACAGAAAAACTTGTTAGCCCCAGATGGGATTCAAACGCACGACCCTCAGTGTTGTAGATCAGATGCCCTAACCTCTGAGCTACTGAGGACTCTTTGGCAAGCAAGGGTCATTTTTGTGGGTTGGACTTGTGAACCGCATCACGCAGTCAATCACAAGCAACACATTAAGGCTTAACTGCATCATGCAGTCACATTTAAAGCAAGAAATGTCTCACCTATGAAGACGCCTCCAACTAACCAGCCTATGCCACTGATGTTTTTATTATAAACGAAAATAAAGTGAGATGTAAAGAATCAACCATAAGAGGACACAGAAAAAATCTCAGCCCCAGATGGGATTCAAACCCACAACCATTCTGGCATTGTTATTCTATTCTCTATACATTAAAGAAATTAATATTGTCAAACTCCTAGCTACATATCTGTCACTTAAATCAAAAGCCGACATTGATATGTGAGGGAGGGTAGTGGGTTCGAATCCCATCTGGGGCTCAGATTTTTTTTGTGTCCTCTTATGGTTGATTCTTTACGTCTCCCTTTATTTTCATTCATAATACTAATATCAGTGGCATAGGTTAGTGAATCTTTGTTTGCATTTTTGCCTCATTATCATATGCTTTTCATTCTCTGATCAAGCTAATAAAAAAGATCTCTGAATATCAAAAGAGCATTACAATTTTAATTATCTGTTTTAATTTGATGCCAATATACCAAATGATTTTGGAGAAATTAACTTTGAAAAACTTGAAACTTTACAAAGGATGTATGGGCTCATTAACGTTTTTGCAACCCCTCAATTTCAAGGTTTCCACCATTGGTGCATGTATTCTCCTTGCTATTGCTTGCAAAAAGCTGAAAATTGCTCGGCAACTTTTGAATTTCATTTGTGCATACAATGACACCTTCTATGGGTTAAAAGATGTCAACAATTATGTGAGCAAAGATTTGCCTATTGCTACAAATTTTGATATTTGCATAAATAAAATGATTTATGTTTTATACTGTATCACTGCAGGTATGTCCCCAGACCTTCGGAGGCTTATTGTGTGGATGATGAACCCTTTACCACAGTATAGGTTTGTTACAGTAAAATAATAGACGGATTAAGACTCATGCTTATGGCTAACAGCAAATGGCAGATTTAAGTTGACAATTTCTCAAACCAATAGAAAATGATCCGATAAAACAGTCCAAAACAGTTCTTATGGATGAAAATAATGTGAAACAACTAATTTTTTTGTAGGAGTAAAGAACGGTAAAAGAGAAGTAAGGGGAAAACTTGGTCACTTGGTCCAAATTTGTGTTTGCCGTTTTCCATAAACATGACTCAAAATCTCTCTAATGTCTATGATGCAGTAATTTTGCTGTGAGAGTACTTCCTATTCAGTTGGTAATAAATAATTCATTGTTATCAAATCTTACTTTTAGGCCAACAGTAGATGAAATATTAGCAGAGCAAGCAGTGACACAGGCATGGAAGAGAAGGCAGAGAGTTTACTTTTATTGCTCAATGGTACAGTAAAACCAAGTTTTCCATATAGCATAAATATATCATGGGGAACAATATATATTTTCAGTTTTTGGCTGCTAATCATAAGTGTGACTTGAAGGGAATCTGGTTAATTTTGATTGTCTTTCCTTTTGTTTGAAGGTATCACCTAAAGATATGTGGACAGAAGTTTTTATATTTCGGACTGGTTAGAAGCCCATCCTTCTTGTCATGACAATAATCTCTCTCTTCTCTTTTCTTTCTTATATAGAAGCAATTGGCATTTAAAATGTACTCAGTGGTGTATGCTGTTTTATTTTGGTTATGGATGGTTTTACTATGGCCCTATAATTCACTTGGAGGTAAGAATATCTGCTGACTCATTTTTTAATGTAAAACTCAAAGTTGAATGCTCAGCTTTGCCCCTAGGATGTCAAAAAAAGTTATTAGATTTACAATCCAACCTCCATGTGCAACCGCCTCCCGTAAGCGACCCCCAAGTCTGCACATTTTGAGTGGTAGCTTACTGGGGTTTTACTGTATTTCAATTGAATTTGACTTCCAAGTGTTCTGTTTTAAATAGGCTATGTGTGATTTTTTTTCTTTTCTTTTCTTTTTTATCAGGATTACATTTGGCAGATAAATCATTATCAAAAACAGACATATCCTTCCATGAAGACAACAGCTTTTCTTCAGATGGTAAAAGACCATTCTTTTACTCTGGTTTGATTTTTTGATAAACGTGTGGAGAATTTGTTTTAGATGTTGTAATTTTTTTTCCAGAGTCATGTAATACCTCCTTGTATGATAGCAGCAGCACTCCTAACTGCAGTATATCATTTGAAGAAATGTTAACACATTCCATTCCAAAGCCTCCTTGGCATGGGTATGTACAAGAAATACTACCAGGGGCACCCAACGAGAATATAGTTCAAAACCACTTAAACATAGCATTGTTAAACGTATTTTAGTATTTAAACGGTAGATATAGGCATATTCTTATCCCCTAAAAATTTTTCATCTGTTCGGATTTCCTAGCTTAAAGTCCAGTGATCCGAAAATTATAGGGATCAAAACTTACCTTTTCGAAAATTTCAGCCAGAAAAAAGGCTCTCGAAACTTCTAGGGGACCATTTTACGTTAAAAATCCGTTAAAAATAAGCAATTATACCATTTTTTAGATGTTCGAAAATCCTAGGAGAGGCAAGCAAGCAAGAAATTTTATAACAAATGTTTCGAAAATTCTAGATCACAAATTGTCTTCCGAACAGATATTTTTTCGAAAATTGACGTTGGGTGCCCCTGTACTACCTGTGATGTATCTAACATTGAGATAATTAGGATGAAGAACATGATATCTTTAAGAATTAATATGTTTAACTCATTCGCCTCCTGGTAATTTTGGCGAAAAACTCACTTTGAAGCTAGTTAGCCATTTTCTGGTCATTACCTTGCTATAAACATGATAAAGAGCTAAAAATAAACAAAATGTTCGTTTACAGGACGTGCTCTTAGCAGCCTTAGCTTCAGAAGCTTAAACATGTGCAGAAAGCAAAAATTCAAGACAGTTTGGGTGTAAAGGTGACCCAGCTGTCTCGACTTTTGCCATTTGCCTTCCCGCCTCCCCTCTCTTTTGTTGGGGGCATTAACTAGGCTTCATTTCGGTGGAAACCGCTTTTGGGATAAGAGTTTTATGATTGTACGATAGTAGGTGGAAGGAAGTGTAGGTTGGTGAGTGGACTAAGATTTTCATTGATTTCCATTGTTTTTGCCTTTTTCCACTTTCTTTGACTGAATCGCCCTCATTCTAGTATGGGTTGAAAGATCCACAAGTAAGCTGACAAAGTTGACAGGTCTTGACTGTCAAAACTGATGATGTCACAAGTGAAACAAGGGATGAGGACCTGCACAGTCAGCTATTGGCGGTTCAGGGCTAATGGGTTAAAAATCTTTAAAAGTATAAAGGTGCACTAATGTCATATTAGAAGTATCAAAGAAAAAATAGAGGGCAGTCTTTCACAGTAACTGATTGATTTCTCACATGTTCAGTTGTCAAGGGCCATTACATTAATATGAAAATTTTTAGTCAATGGTCTCATTTCTTTTCATGGAGAACGGATGTGTTAAAGTTGACTCCAACTATTTATGAGATATAACAATGTATGATTACTTTTTTTTCTAGCGAAGGCTACTGCAGCTCGCCTGTTCATTTGACACCTTGCAGCCACATGGATCATTTAAGGATATCTCCCCAAATGTGTTCAAAAAAAGGGAGGTAGGTATTGCGCAAAGTTTTCGGTTTCTGACTAACCTAGGGCGCTCAGTTGCCAGAAAAAAAAAATGAAAGAACTTTTTTACTTTGAAAGAGTGCCTGGAATAAGGCCCTGCTTGACGTCTGATGAGCTGCTTGATTCTCCCTCCAATTGTGTAGTGTCTGTTTTGTGAATCATAGGGAGAGTTTTATATTAGATCAGGAGTCTCTCAGGGCCTTATTAAATTAAGGTTAAGTTTGTATTGTGTTGTTTCACTGGTTTCCAGCAAGCCTTGTTACCACAGCTTACAAGTACTTTAAGAGAAAATATAGCTTTTAGTCGGGGACTCGTCATAAATGGAACTGTCCGTTACAAATGGGTAACAGTAAAGTGGGGTTGCAGTGAAACTGCATTGGGCTGTTTTTGTGTGTTCAAGTCTAAAATCAGTACAATGTTTGTTTTTTCTTTTCAGGATTACTCCACCGTTTCACACTAGTAGCCCAGAACATCAAAAGTACACCCCTCCATCAACCAGTAGAAGAGGTCGTTTGTTTGACGGAGACGAGTTCTTGACTAAGAATGCAGCTGGCCCAAGAAACCTGCTTGAGGTAATTTTTTTTCTCATGGACAGCTGGATATCTACAAAGACTAAGTACACTGCCATGCCTGAACATTGAGCCCTAACTAATAAACAAAAGGAACAACGATTGGAAAAACCTGTAAAATTCAGTTACAAATTAGAAAGGTCGACTTCTGTTTGTTGTAAGCATGTCTCAGCCTTGAGCTGCTGTTTCATCCAACCAAGATGAAACGGGAGGCATACCATACCTCGGCACCTCTCTCTTACGCCTTACAGTGGGCTAATAAAACCCAATTATAATCTATAAGGCTATTTGTGCCAAAATTTCAGACAGATGGTTTCACGTTAACATTATTTCCTCACGGATGGAACTCCACCGCGAATCGTTACATGTGCGGTATATAATATTCAAGTTTATTAAAATAACTTGATCTTATGCTGTTATTACTTAGGTGAAATAGAGGCAAAGTTACTTTCAAATACGTTGCTGATTTTGCTATTTGCCAGTGTTGCGTTGACAAAGCACAGTTACATTTTAAAAATCTCGTGTCTCACCGTTGTGGGCCCAAAAACTTTCGAAGTTAAGTTATTATTTACGTTTTCTCACGATAGTTCCTTGGTTCCAGGTATTTGAAGATGCAGCAAATAGTCCTGATTGGTGATATGAAAGTTTGAGATGTGTACCAAAAAAATAAAGTGGAGGAAGAGCCTCAAGTAATGGAGATCGAAGAAAACCTATGGCTTTTTTAGTTGTTTTGTTCTCTCCACCATTTGATCAGTTTAAGCTCCATGTAGACAAGTCATAACTGGTGCCTGAACTCACGTAACCAACCTACCGTTTAACCCGTTTACGACCCAAGAGTGACCAACACCAGTTTTCCCCTAATGAGAAGAGGTTATGACCAAAGGGAAATGGTTTGATCTTTTATCAAATTCTCTCAACTAATTCGTTAAAGAAACTTATGGAGATCAGTCTGCAGAGTTTGTAAGAAGTTAGTTGAAGCATCATGATAACCACAGGAAAAAAATTAACTTTTATTATTCTGATTATAGATCATATAGTCAGGTGCCGTTTGTATTTGGCAATTTGTCAACAAATACATCAGTGTCTGTGACCTTTCAGTTTAAGAAAAGAAGCAATTTAAAATGATAGTCTTTTTTTAACACAGATAAAAATGAAAATAATTGTTGTATAAAGAGTTTATGGCTTGCCGATCTGAAAAGTCTAAAAGAACTTAAATTTTGTAACATACTTTCGTATTGCTTTTCGGTTCTCAGTGTAAATACAAAACTTGCCCTTTTGGTTTGAACTGTAGTGGACGTTCAGTTTCCGGGAATTACCCATTTCTGACAAGTTTTGATGGAGTTCACAATTTGGTGCTGACAGGGCTCGAAATTAACGCTCGCAAATTCGTAAAATGCGAGTGATTTTGATAATCTGCGAGTGAAAAAAAATATCCACAAGCAAAAGTTCGCGAGTTAGAATCATCCATGTCTCCCAAACAAAGGGAAAGAATTTGCTAGTGGTCTCACCAGTTTGCTTGTGGAAAAAATTCTTACTAGCAAAACTTTGTAAGTGCACTAGAAAGTTAACTTCGAGCCTTGGCTCATATTGTGTAATAAATTATCCTGATAGTATCGGTGGCAGAAAGTGGCGCGGAAGAAGTGAAAAGGAAAAGCCGCGCTATTCTATTTCTTCCAGACTTTTCTTTGCTGATCTTAGATTATTCTTGCTCCAAACAGTTGCATTTATGTCTGTAATGCCCCGTGCAAACGGACGCAGCATTGTTGGCCAACAATTCCCAACATTGCGACAGCATTGTTGGATGTTGCACGTTGTGTCCGTTTGCACCAGGGTTTGTACACCCAGTTGCATGTTGTTGTACGTCGTTGCGGATTTTTGAGAGTTGTTGCGCAAAGTTCGAAACCGGTCAAACGTTTAACTACGTGCAAACGGACGCAACAACTCCCAACATTGTTGCCCCAAGAATGTTGCGTGTTGTTGCGTTCGTGTTGCAGTAGTGTCCAAACGGATGCAAGAACTCCCACCATCACGCTACAACATGCAACAGGGTGTGCAAACGGACGGAACATGTAACATCCAACAATGTTGGAACTTGCTGGCCAACAGTGTTACGCGGCGCTTTAAGATGATAAAGAATTACAGTCAAAGGAAATCCATGATACTCGATGTTGTGATACTTTCAAATTTTGTACAATAAACGAAGAAAAGTCACCAAAATTTTATTTTGAGATTACGTTTTGTGCCTCATTACTTCGTGATCCCTCGCAAATCAAGGCCAAATCAGCGCTCTCTTTTTTCTTATACTTTTGATTCTATGAACGCGTAAACTAGACGAATGTGTCAATGCACAGCGCTTTGGAGGTGGGCGGACCCTAGCCCGTGGTCTCTCCTGGAACAGAATTCCTGCAAGCAATGAGGGGAAGATAAGTTCGTCGTCGCGTGTTCACGTCCTCCATAAAACGTGAAAATAGTGTTTACACACCGTAGTTGTACAGTGACGGCAACGAAATGTCCAAACAAGTGTTATCAGTCCTGAGCTTTTCCACTTTAGGAAACGTTTTGACCGGCGAACCAAAACAAGTAATTACCTAATCACGGTGCAAATTTGGAGTCACATGACGAGAGGCTAGGCTTGTTTTCATGAACTTTTTGGGCGCTTTCCATTCATCCAAAACGTCAGCTTTGAGTGTTCGACAACTTCCAGTAGCGAATGGAACAGCATTTTCCAAAATTTCCAAGCAAGAGGTCAACTTCGCGCGGTATAGCCAGATTTTCGAAAAATTTTTCTCGGGAGGTTTTCTTGCCATTCCACTTAACTCCTGGAATTTCGAGAATTTTCGGTTGAATAGTTCGCATTTCGGAAATTCAACAGTTCCCGGAATTTATGGAAACTTTTCCGGGAAATTTCTGTATCATTTGCCGCTGTTTCCAATTTTTCGAAAGTTTAATGGAAAGCGCCCAGAAAGAGCGCTTTTCATTCAGCCCAAAATTCCTGAAATTTCGGTTAGAAATCAAATGGAACGATTTCGGTTCGGTCCGACCGGAATATTTGGGACCACCTTTGCACCTTTACAGGTGGTTCATTTACCGGTCGGCTCATTTTGGTCGGTCGGACCCGAATGTCCGTTTCCGTTTGACAAAATTGTTGTCCCCAGTACCGCTCTTTTTCATCCTGCTTACAAGGCCAAGGATTTACAAAAACAATAACCAAATGCGTGGTGGCTTGGGTTGGGTCAGAGAAACCGGAATGTACCGTTCCATTGGACACGTAGCCTGCGTAACATGTGCGTAGCTGGCGGGTTTTTGGTAAATTTTTTTTAGGAACAAATTAGCCTGTTCCAAGCGTTCATATGGTGGAGAGCGGTGCGAAGTAGAAAAAGCGATGAAAAGTAGAGGGGGACTCACTTTTATTTTTTCGGGCTCCTTTTTACTTCGCACCGCTCCCCACTATCTGAACGCCTGGAACAGGCAAAGAACAAACACCCTCCCCCCCCCCCCCCAAAAAAAAAATGCCCCCAAACACGCCTTTTGGGGCCGGGGGGTTTTGAAATTTTAAACAAAAATTTTTTTTTTAGGGGGGGGGGCCCCACAAAAACCACTTTTTTTACGCGGGGAGAGACGCGGGGAGGGGTTTGTGTGTTTGTTGTTGTAGCGGTAGGAGGCGGGGGGGGGTTCTGGAAATTTTTTTTAGGAAAAAAATAGCCCGTTCCGACGGGTTAAGTGGTGGAGGGGGGGGTGAAAGAAAAAAAGGGAAAAAAAGAGGGGGGGGCCTCCCTTTTTTTTTTTCGGGCCCCTTTTTACTTCCCACCCCCCCCCCCCATCTCAACGCCTGGAACAGGCAAAAAAAAAACCCCCCCCCCCCCCCCCCCAAAAAAAAAAAATGCCAGCTACGCAGGCTTTTCGGAACGTGGAGTTTCGAAATTTCAAACCGAAATTTCTTGTTGAAGGGAGGGTGCCCCAAAACATCACACTTTCTAGCGCCGAGAGGACCCTGGGGATGAGTTTGGTTTGTTGCTGTTTCGAACGCCTGCCGGTCGTCACTTGTTTCCATCCGCCAAACTGACGTTTTCCTCTCAGTGGCTCTCACAAGACATTTCACTTTTCTTACATGAAATTTCTCTTTCTCAGAAATTTCTGTTCATAAAAGTCTAAGTCTCTTCAATTTTTAAGGAAGATGGCACAGGTAGTATTCGATCTCAGAGCATCGGCTCTGCAGTGCATCACTTTAACCCCTACACCACTGAGGATTTGCTAGCAACAACCCTAACCCCAACTCTTACTTTGTGTACGAATCATTAATCTGTCAACGTCAGGCTATTTGCGTAACTGAAGGTCAAAGATGGCGGCGACAAAGCAGGGGTTTCCGGCGAAAGGAATTTACTACAGCAGACTCAGTGAACAGCCCGAGATTGGCTTATCACACGGTCCTACAGAGTCACCAGTAAGAAAAAGATCACTAGTGGGACCTGATTTGGTGCCACATATGACTGGATTTTCTCAGGGTATCATACCACCGGGATCTTCGGTCGAGAGACATGTGCACCCGTCGAAGTACGAAACTTTCTACTGTTTGAAAGGCCAAGGAAAATTCATCGTAGGGTCCAGCGAGGAGACTTGTAAAGATGATATGGAGTTTGAATTAGAGCCAGGATGCTGTATAACAGTGGCACCGCAGTTTTGGCATTCAGTGCATAATACTGGTGACACGGATGTGATATTGCTCTACTTTGGTGTGGCGTGTTAGGTTTGATGTCTGGTTGGATATTAAACAGTGGATAATGTGAAGATTTTAACCTCATTTCAAGTTCGTAACTAGTGCCAAGTGCATTGACTGACACCAAAAGGTGCTACGTACATCAGGGCAATTATTTTAGCAATCCATATCGCTGGTGGTTTTTATATTTCAATCTGCATTGTCTTTGTTTGCCATAATATCTTACGTAATCAGAAAATTTCTATAATAGCAATGTATAAATTTACTTTCTCACAAGAGAATCGGTGTCGCGTTACAAGCAAACGTTGAGACGTTGTGCTGAGGTGTGCGAACGCTAAATATCATTATATTTTCCTTTTTTCTTTGAAATAAATTAAGGAGATTTACCTTTGATGTATTTCTGTGTTTTTTGGTGTGAATTCATCGATTTAGTCATTTTTTTAGCTGTTATTGTGTGACCCCTGTCACTTCCTTGTCCCTCCCTTGTCTTCGTTTTATGAAGGCAGTGACAGGGGTCACACAGTAACTGCTGAAAAGGGACTAAGTGGATGAATTCACACCAAAAAACAGGAATACATCAAAGGTAAGTCTCCTTTATATATTTCATAGAAAAAAAGTTAAAATGTAATGATATTTAGCATTTGCGGACCCCAGTATTTTATTTCTCATACCACGTCTTGACGGTCGCCTGTAACATGACACAGACTCTCTTGCGAGAAAGTAAACTTACATTCTACACTCCTAACGTGAGCTTGGGTTGCCTATGATTATAGGCGTCAAGTTATGAGATAACGGCTACCTGATGGTCTGTAAGAATACATTGGATACTGACCAACTATTTGGCTTAATAAATAGCTTGTGAATAGCGACCAAAGAAACAATTACAAATCTCGCCGTTATCTAAATGCAGCATGCTTTTAACACACTTGTTGACACAGCGCAAATAACATGAGGAAAAGACAAAAGTTCTACTTTTGTGTATCCTCATCTGGACTTTATGATGTGGGGTTCGAGTCCCGGCCAGACCAACACTCAGGGTCTTTAAATAAGTGAGAAGAAAGAGCTGCCTTTGTAATGACATCTGCAAGCGGTTAGACTTTCTAGTCTGCTCGAATTATGATAAAAAAGGTCAGGTCACATCTCACAGCACTTTCACTGATCTGGTTTTTGTGGGGCGTAAAAGAACCCATACTGTTCGAGAAAAGTAGTAGACCCTGGGGGTGTGGCCAACCATTCCTTGGTTGGGTGGGTTATCTGTATGGAGAGATCTCAATATAGCGATAACCTCATGATCCTCCTTCAGCTGTGGTAATGGCTACCAGTAAACAGTGCATGTATGGCTGGTTTCCATATGCTCCAAATATTCACTATGACCTCTAGAACAGTCCAGAGGTCATAGTGGTCTTGTCGATAATTGCCAACCTTGAGGCTTTCAGGTTGAGGGGACCGCCCAAAGAGATGTGAACAGGAAAAACAGCAAGGGGTTAGACCAAAGGAGCCCTCCTCTCTCCCTCTCTTCTAGCCTGTGAAAACAGCCTTCTCTCCTCGTTCCTGCCACTAGGGAGGTTTCCTCCCCTTGGGAAATGTCCTAGCGGTGGGGAGCAAAGAGAGACGGCTGTTTTGGCAGGCTACCTCTCTTCCGCCTTTTTTCCCGCCCTGACTTGACGCCGCACTATCGGAAGGCCCAGAACAGACTAAGAACTAAATTACTCGCGTACTCGTGGTCGCTGTGATTATCACTTTTCCCAACAATCTCGTTCCCAGAGGCTGCGATCCTTTTGGTCAGCGACAGGGATCGGGATCGGATCGATGCTCGTTCTAGCCTGAGATCATGCCCTCTCCCTATTATCCCTTTATGTCTCTTACGCGAAGAGGGCGTTATTTTTTTCCCCTCGAGCCAAAGAAGCAAAAAAAATAAAAATAAAAAACAACGCCTGATCTCAGGTTATGCTCGTTCTGCTGGACAAAGCAACGCGGACTCTGGGAACGAGATTGTTTTTGCCACTCGAAAATAAAATTCATATCTTTAAGCCGCCGTGTAATGTTCTTTTTATTATATAGACATATATAATAAAATGATAGAGGGAAATGACCGAAATTACGTCATCGATAAACTCACGTGTGAGATTATGGAAAATAAACCACTCCGGTCCCGGATGTAGGTTTTATGAATTTTACGAGTGGTATATTTTCCAGTAAAACACTCGTGTCTATATAATAAACATCTCTCTTGTTTGATAGCCATCAAGGTGTCAGACTGAGCCTTATGAAGACAGCTCATTTTCGAGTCCTTTCCTCTGGGGTGGGGAGATGAGGAAAATTATAGTCAGGAACAGGAAAGGTAAAGCATTAAACCAAACAAATAAATATCCACTTTATTATAAAACAATAACAATAAGGTAACGGCGGTTTAAAGTTCAGTATGTCTGTTGATCCAGGCACTAAAAAGGGACTGATTCGTTTTGACGCTTCTTCTTCGACGGTTGTTTGGGTATGTGATAACAAAACGGTTCTTATCTACTGTGCTCTGAAAAAAAAAAAAAAAAAAAAAAGAGGGGGAATGGGCAATCATGTTTGGGTTGTGAGGGCAAAAAAAAAAGACGAGGAATCTTTGATTCGTTTGTTCCCTCCTCTTCAAACAAAGGGAAAGGGGGAGAGGAAGAGAGGGAGAGGTGTGTGGCGGGTGTGTACACACACAAAAAAAAAAAAAAAAGCAGAGAAGAGATAAAAGGGACTGATTTGTTTTGACGCTTCTTCTTCGACGGTTGTTTGGGTAAGTGAAAACAAAACGGTTCTTATTTACTGTGCTCTGAAAAAAAAAAAAAAAAAAACAGAAGGGGAATAGTCAATCATGTTGGGGTTGTGTGGGCTGTTAAAGATGTCGAGGAATCTTTGAGTCGTGTGGTGCCTGCTTTTCAAACTACGGTAAAACGGGCAACAAAGACGCGCAACTTTGTTTTGCCAGTTTTATCACCCACGAGTCAAACCTGTCTTGCCACAGGTCAGGGTTTTGCAAGTTGCGTGAAAACTGACTTCTGAGTTCTGATTTAATAAAATTACGCGGGTGTCACGCCATACACGAGACTTGCGGCAAAACAAGTTTGCCTTGGGCCGGTAAAACGCGCAACATGTACAGATTTTGTCGGAAAAAGTAGAACCACTCGCTACTTTCTGAAACAAATTTTCGAAACCTACATCAATCGCAACAACTTGAGTTGTTGCAAGACAGCTTACGCAACATCGCTATTCAACTCCTTTTCCGGCAGCAATGTTGCAAATTTAAACAAATTGCACGTTTTTGCCCGTTTCACCGTACCTTAGGAACCTGTTTAGAACCTGTTTCTGACTTGCGGGTTTGAACTGGGTTTATAGGTGAATCACAAAGACTGTATTTTAGGTAATTAAAATTAACTACAAGACATCGATAAGGGCGAGACTGGAAATATCACTCGTAAGAGAAGCAAGGGTAGTTATTTAACAGCTCTTCACAAAAATATACAGTTTCTTACCGGAACGAAGAGAGGCCTTCCTACGAGGTTGCCATGGAAATTATTTCCTGCTTGGTCTAATATAACTGAACCAGAAGTGTCCTCCATGTTGAAGTGTGCTCGCACCAGACCCTTGTGAATAGGCCATGTTAGCCCCGCCAGCTTCATATAGTTTTTAATTTCATCATCAGGAACTCGTACTCCCCACAAAGTCAGCTATCGATTTATCAAAATAGACATAAGGTAGAACTTTGTGGTGTGCAACTTGAAGAGAAATTAAGTATATGAAACACTGGTGTTACCTGAATGAAGTTGACACCCAAAAGATATTTCTAACCTTGCAACTTCAAAATGATACAGAAACCGTGAAATTTTATTTTGAAGAAGTTGTTACTTACGTCATCTATCGTCCCATTAAAAAAGTGTTTTTGATCCCGGCCCACAAAAATCTTGACACCTGGGGTCTGAAAAAAAAGAAGAAAAAAACAAGAAACAGGTAAAGAGATAAAAACTAAGAGGAATAATCACTGATCGGAAACTACAGCAAAGTTGAAAAACTCTTTACCCAAACGTAAGGCCTGGTTTCGGTCTTTTTTCCAACTGATGATCCATTCACAAAGACCTCGATTTCATGTCCTATGAATCAATAAAGAAAAAACCATTACTTCGCAAGTCACGGAACAAATTACGAATGATAAACCCTGGGTGCCAGAGACTTTTCGGTGAAGTCTTCATAGCCTCGCCGCTCCTAGTGTCGGCGGCCGACACCGAAGTTTCCTGCTGCGAGCGAGAAAAAAACCTCTGGTACCCGTAGGGTAGGAATGATACATGACAACAACGAGTGTTAAACAGTCTAAACATGGGCCATTCACTTCTCCCCCTACCGTTCTGTTAATTTGACTACAGGTGTATAGCTTTCCTTCTTGTAGCTGAGTCTAAAGAAGCCATTAACGCATGAAAATAGGCCAATGACATACTCCAGTTAGCCACTGAACCTAGCTCGTACCCAGACGTCTCTCAGCCAAAGTAAATTTGCGCAAAAAGGAAGGCGGAACGGAGAAAGCAGGCGCACTCTTCTTTCTCTTTTCCGCGGTCCCTTGCGCTTCGCACCAGTCGCTCGCGCTTCTCGCTCGCCTTTGTTCGCGACCAAACGCCTGAGGAGAAGGAGGAGGCAGCAACTGGACTTTTAAAACATTATTCGATATTTGAATATCAAGCAAGTACACAGAACCGCGTAAACAAACACAATTCGTGTGAGTAAAAAGCACTTCATTCATTTACTTTGTGCATCAAATCTGAAGACAAGATGATGCCATTCCTCAGGCTCTATAACTTCACTTCCTTCCACTGTGGATGTTCCTAAGTTTCCATGAACGCGTCTGTATAAATAAATGAATAAATAATAAATAAAGGCACAGAAAGAGGAAACAAACATAACAGGTTGAGACCGAAATATACGTCCTCATTTTTATGCTCTTATCACACGGCAGTTGAAATCTTGTGCCAAATCGACGATATTTTAATTGTTTGATTTTTCGCTGA